TTTCCTGTTAAAATTTCAAGCTTTTGAGTGATTTTCAGTGTTAAAAAGAAGTATTTTGGAAGCTTCAGACTTCATTTTTATGCTTTTTGGGTTCCCGTAAAATGGAAAGATTCCGATTACTTTATTCTCCTAAAACACTTTCTCAGCAACCAAACAAGACTGAAATGGAAAAAATAACATTGAAATAATCTGTGCATGCTGGACCACGAAAAGGAAACCAAACAAAGAAAATATGATTGGAAAATGATCTTTCAATACTCTGAGTTCCGTGTTCTTGAAGAATTCTTTCATTTTCTTCAACTTCTAAGTGTGAAAGGATTTTCCACCTTTTAATCCACTTTGCATAGTGATTGAAAAAGAGAGAAAATCCCACAAGTTCTTAGTTTTTTAAGTCCTTGAAGTTCATATTGAGTTTTATTTGAGTTGGTGTGGAAAGTGAAAATTAAACTTACCCTAAGAATTGTTGGTGTGGATATTTCTGGCAAATATTCATCACATTACCAGAAGAACTGTTATTTGTTGAGGAAGATTTGAAATTGATTATCAGGTTGATTGCTACTAGTAGTTTTTTCAAGATCTTTTCCGTCGAACCTTCGAGTTTAACATGTTTGATGATGATGTTAAGCAATTCATTTGTAGCAGACTTTCTATAGGATAAGACTGTTTATCAACGAAAAGGAAGAGATGTTAATGAAACTGAACTCATATGTTGGATAGCATTGGTTTCTCCATATGGTGTTGACTAGAGTACAGTCCGGGTGACGAAAGCGGAAGTGTGTTTCTTCCATACTGAATTATAGTTTTTTACTTCTTTTGCTTTCAGTTAAAGATCATATTTTACAGTTGATTGTGCTTGTTTCTCGGCCTGCCTTAATCTTTTCTTGCATGATGCAGAACGACATGGTTCAGGCCTCCGCAACTGAATATAACCTTGAAGGAGAAGTTGATATGTTCAAGCTCTAGAACCATCACCGAAGAACCGATTGTGGGCCTTGATCCAATGACTGCAGCCATCGTTTATCTCGTGTGGTGAAGATGTCATCACTTCAGAAGGACTTAAGGCTGCGGATATCGAATTATTTCAAATGAGCAGCTTCTAGAGGTTTTCTACGAGTGTGAGAAGGATCTAATGGCAGAAGCAGCATTAGAAGCGCAAGTGGGTCCTGGATTTCGAGACTCCTGTGTGAAGATAGATGAATGCCAAAATCAAGAAAATGAAGTGCTCAGTGATGCATCGTTCCAGAAAGCGTGAGCTCGGGTTCTTTATGTTCAATGGGATCCGTGCAAGGGGCTGCAATCGAACCTAGTTTTCTGGATTCTCTGTTATGGATTTTGGTTCTGTTTATACAATGAGGAGAGCATTTAGTGAAGGAGATATCAAGGTCAGCCTTAATTATCTCTGCGTTGTATTTCTATATTTCGCTTCTTCCGAAACTATTAGTCCACGTTTACACTTGCTTCGATAGATCATGCACCAGATTTGAGAATGTTAAGATCGTCTTCCTTGATTACCTGGACAAGGTTCTTACTACTTACCGTCCATGCTACTTGGTTTTCAGCGTCCGCCGTGCTTTCGGTCGGAAGCTGAAAACTAACCTAAGGACAAAGCCGTCTGGTTAATTTGCTAACATTAAGTAAATGCTTTTTAGAAGCCACTTATGAACACAACAGTGTTTATCCCTTTTCAGATCACACCAAGATATGTGGATCCTGCTTTGCAATTAAACTCTACTAATTCGTAAAAATGCTTATGTGAGTCAGCTACCGGTAATGTGACAGACACTTGATGACACTGAGTTTTTATGGCAGACACTCGGCAATGGCAACGTGAGCATCATCCATTCTCCCGTCGAGAGGCCATTAACCGTCAGCAGCTGTTCTCCGAAGAACGAAGGGAAAAGCTCTCCAGATACAGGGACAAGAAGACGAAGAGGAATTTCGAAAGGAAAATCAAGGTAAAAAAACATAAGTTGTTCCCGTTCCCGCCGATGTCGTCAATTGCTTTAACTTGTTGCTTATGCTTAGCCTTTAACATATGGCAATACGTGCAGACTTCATGGTTATTATCATATTCCATTATCTATAATGAAAGCTCAACAATACGGTTTTCCTCGCCTAGTATGCTTGCAGGAAGGCTCTTGCCGACAGTCAACCGAGGATCCATGGAAGGTTCGCAAAGATCGAAGAATCCGATGACTCTAAGAGGAAACCACCGTTAACTAATTAAACGATCACCAACTAAACCTGAACTAAGTTGCTAGGTCCAAAGAGGTAACGGAAAACGAGTAGTGGCGGAGATCGTAGACAGGTAATTCGAAATAAGCCATAAACCATCTATCGAGTAATAGTTCCACGTTTTTATCTGTATTTGCTGCTGTAATAAGCTCCTTTGTAAGGATGTATAGTGTTTGTTCAAATAAAATGGCAAAGCTGAAATGTACTTCATACGTAGTAAAAAAATGGTGTTTGTAAATATTTTTCTATTCTGCAATGAGTTCAGTTCATCTGGCAATCTTATAGCACTAGCAGAACGTGTGTATATAATCCTATCAAGGTCGTTTTCTTTTAGGGCCGTAAATAAGATAAGACATATCATGACTCGAGAATTATTAAAACCGACTCGATAAATACTCATTCGAAAATTAAATAAATGTGGTTGCCAAAGCTTGATGTAGTTTTGTCAATGAAAATACTTATTTTTAGTATTATCATTAATGTCCCACTATTCTCAGTTTGGACAAACACAGTACAACTTGATAGTAAGTTGATGGGATGGCTTAGTGTAATGTGTCGGGTATATTCAGGTTCGACTAGATAGATACCTTCGAAAAACATGACACAAGTACACCATATTCAATAAATACAAAAATTATATATATAAAAAATCCCTGTCGGCATATCTCTAGAATATATGCTCACCAAATATGATATTTTGTCTAACGTTATCACATGTATTATCACAGTATAATCATACTTATATAAATGATATCATATAAGCTATTATTTATTAATTTTTTCAATTATTAAAAGTTGTAAATGATCCTTCAATTGTTGTGTGTAGTTTGTTGATCCTTTTGACTATTAAAAGTTATAAAATAGTCATCTGACTATTCATACGTTCAAAGCTAATCATTTTCCGTTAAAAAATTGATAGTATTTGAGCTGGACATTTACCTGTTGATTGTGATATGATAAAATATGATCTTAAAATCTTAAAATAATTATCATATTTCAGTCATCATGTTAACATATAGTTAGACGACCATCGATTTTAATAAAAAGAACGATTTTTAAATAATGAATAGACGAGCGACTATTTTGTAACTTTTAATAATGGAAGAACTTAATAAAATAGTATCCTATAGTCAGAGGACCATTTGTATATTTACCATTTTTATTAATCTAGGGTGATTTCAAGTGACGGTATATGTTACTCTCGATCATTTAATAATACTTAAAAGCCCTACAATCCTCGGTGCTTGAATCCAAAACTTATAGGAACAATAATCCCTTTAATCACTGAGATCGCTTGATTTGTAGATGTGTGGATTATCATATTAACATGATTAATTGTGATCGATCAAAAGAAATATTAATACAATTAAAAAAGTTTGAAGGTTAAATCTACAACTAAAAAAGTACACTATTGTTGATGCTTTTGATCAAAAGTTTGGGTTTCTACTATTATAGTCCCTGTTTGGTGTTGAGGCCCAAAGAGGCAAAGAGAGTAACCTGCCCATGCCCATGCCCAGTGACTAGTAGCCATGGAAAGGGTTTTGCAGACAGAACATAAGCTTTGATCTGAATATTCTAAGAAACTGAAATCTTAAACTTTGTCATCCTGTAAGAAATCACACAATAGCTTTTGTTAGGTCAAGTTTGGACATGAAAATGGATGAAAAACCAACCAGAAAGGAGTCTGGGTCATTTCTTGAACAGGCTTTTGTGTTATAAACTAGGGATATGTCTCTGCCTTTGGGTCATGGATGCCTCTACATAAACATAAAGTCTTTCTACTTTAGGCAAGTAATTTAAAATTGATTGACAAACAAGTCCAAATTATGTACACCAAAAAAGGAAAGCCCTAAATATCTTAGATCCTTGCATGTTTAAGTACTTTAACAAGCTTTTGTAAGGCATCGTAAGGACCCTATAAAAAAGTGAACCACTGTTCGTCTCCTCTTTTTCCTCTTTCGACTCGAACTGGTAACAGTATCCATTTCATTTTGCCGCCCAAGTTTCTTGTTAAACAACGTGTTATTCTTACACGACATTGATGATTTCTGAATAACTTGTTTGTTGGCTGTCATGTTCTTCGAAATCTGGTAAAAAAGATTGGGAAAGAGACGAGAAAAAAACAGCCCATATACCATTCATTCCAAGAATACGGGCTAAAATTCAAGAACAAAGAATAAAACACCCGACCATGGAGCATCGGCCAAGGTAACATTAAGTTCCGACCAAAAGTCACCGGACCGGGATGCCTTCGTTTCATTTGCAGACAAGTCATGGACATCATCTAAGAGTTATCTACTCGTCTATGATCAAACTAAACAAAATTTCCACGCATGATTCGAACGATTGAATGAATCCCATGGCATCAAATTACCATTCCAAACAAAATCCTGGAGTTCATATGGTGTCACAATTTATCACAGACCCAATTCCATTGCATCAATATATATATATATATATAACCAATTTCAGGCTTGGTGGAAGTCTAGAACTACAAATTTGACACTACTAAAAACCCAATCTAAAAATAGTTTCCAAGTTTCTTGGAATCATCATCCCTCTGTGCTGAGAAAATCAAAGGAAAAAAAGAGAGAAAGCTTTGAACTTTTTGATGGTTCTTGTTGTGATGGCCATAACCAGATTGGTGAGTGAGTAATAGGAATCGGAAGGAAGAAGAAAATCGAACCTACCAAACATTATAAGCAAAGCAAAGGCCCGCGGCACAAGTTATGTAATCCCCCACTTCCACATTGTACGCAAATACAATAACACAAATATTACTGCTCTTTCTTTCTCTCTCTGTCTCTTTCCTTTCGGCCTTTGCTTTCGCAAGTTATATAACGCCGACCCTCTTCTTTTCCTTCCTTCCCTCTCTCTTTCATCTCTCAAAACAACGAAATTCCCAGAAAGTCTTTCAATCTCGGCACTGTCGTCGTCAATGAAAAAGAATAAAGCTTTGATTACGTTTGTAATTCAGGAATTTGTAGGAAGTTTTCTGGTTTTGGGTGTTTGACCCATTTTTTTTAAATAATGTTTTGGGAAATTTAATTCAATGGTGTTGTCTTATCGTTCCTTTTATATACTCTGAAATAGTTTGAGTGAGAAAGCTCAATCTGGAACGAATCTCTGTTCCATTACATTCAATCCACCCCACCCAATTTTTCTCTTCTTCTTCTTCTTCTCCGATTTGTCATCGGTCTCTCTTCGATTCATCTCTTTGTATCAAAGAAGGAAAACCCGGAGAGAGAGTATAGGTGCTGGTCCAATTTCTTTTTTTTTGGGTGGGGAACTGGGTTTGCAATTAGGGTTTATGGGTGTTTTGGGAATTGGGTTTCCACTTTAAGATCGACGTTGATTTGAAGTTTCCCCCCTCTTTATGTCGATTAGGAGGGATTGATTGATTAGAGCAGATATGATAATCAAGCGCAACCTCAAATCGCAAATGCCGAGTCTGAAACGGTGCAAACTCGGTGATTCAGTAGGTGAAGATGAAGATTACTTGGGTAGAACTCGCAAGAAACGGAAAATCAATGACTATTATCCTCTGGCTCTTCTCGGGGAGGTCGCCGCCGGCATAATTTCGTTCGGCCTCCATCGTATCATTGCCTCTGAGGCTGATAAAGGTTTCTCGGCTTCATGGTGCGCCGATGTCTCATGCTCCCCTGATGAAGTTGAATCCAAATCCAAGGGCTTAGATTCATCCAATGCCAAGAACCGTACTGTGGAGATTTCTCGGCCACCACTTGTGAGGACCTCCAGAGGACGAGTTCAGGTACTTCCTTCGCGATTCAATGATTCTGTAATTGAGAACTGGAAGAAAGAAAGTAAAACTAGCTTGCCCGATTGTAGTTTAGATGATGGTGATGACGATGAGGATTATGACTTTGAATGCAAAAAGGATAAATCTAGTTTTAAGAAACCTAATAATTGTAAGCAGAACATGAAAAATTGGCGAAGTGAAGAGAAGAATGGTTATAAAGGGAAAAAATATACTACATTGTGTGGGGAAGATGAAGGAGAAGCAGGGTATGGTAAGACTTTTAATAATAGGAAGTACTTGAGTTTCCGAACCTCGTTAATACGTGAGCAATTCGTCAAGGAGAATGAGAAGGATGTCAATGGGATTGACACTGTTGATTTAACAACAGTGAAGAAGGCTTCACTTGAGAATGGTGGGAGGAAAGATGGGTTGTATGGGCCGGAGGATTTTTATGCAGGGGATATAGTGTGGGCAAGGCCAGGGAAGAGGGAGCCATTTTGGCCGGCTATTGTTATCGATCCAATGACGCAAGCACCTGAGCTGGTTTTGAGGTCTTGTATACCTGACGCAGCCTGTGTAATGTTCTTTGGACATTCTGGGAATGAGGGCCAAAGGGTATGGATACTTTCTTTATTGAGTTTATGTTTGTGAACTTGTTTGTTGTACGATGTAAATTATAATTTCGTCATTAATTATGTTATTTTGAATGATTATGGACAGGATTATGCCTGGGTTCGGCGGGGCATGATTTTCCCCTTCATGGACTTTCTAGACAGGTGTGTTGTTTGTTTTGTTCAACAGCTAAATGAACTTTCATTCGGAAATGTTGCTTAGGTAGTGTTCTTTATGAATAGGTTCCACGAGCAACCAGAATTGCATAGGTGCAAGCCTAGCGATTTCCAGTTGGCAATGGAAGAGGCTTTTCTAGCAGAACAGGGTTTTACAGAGAAGTTGATACAGGATATTAACATCGCAGCTGGAAATTCATCTTATGAAGAATCTGTTCTTAGATGGGTTCAGGAGGCTCCTGGTCCAATCCAGGATCACGATTATCACCTTCCTAATCAGGCAAGTTGATGTAGAATTCAACATATTGTTTCTTTGGATACATGTTTATTGAATTTTCAAGTCTTTTCCAACCCCCACATTTTGAATCCCATCCACTAGCAGGGACATGGGTGATTTTACTTTTTGTCCTTGTGAAATCTGTCTTATCTTTACTGTAACCCGAGTTCTCTTTCTTTTACCGGGGAGGGAGGGATGGGGGATTAGAAAAAATTTGAGCCTTCGATGCATTAGAGAGATTTTGAGCTTTATGTTTTGCCCGGATTGTGTAAGAGAGCATTTTCCATATCTGTTTTATATGCTTATCTAAAACAATTGGAACACAAAGGTTAATGTTCTCGATTTAAATATATTTGCAGGGCTTCTTTGGGAAATATAAGGACACAAGACCTTGTGAAGGCTGTGGCATGAACCTCCCATTTAAAATGGGAAAGAAAATGAAAGCATCTGCTTCTGAAGGCCAATTTTTGTGTAAAACATGTGCTAGGGTCTGTTGCAATGTCTTTTCTGTATCTTAAATTATGATTCCAATGTTTTATGCTTTTGTTACTTTTCATAACCGCTTGCTTTTTTTTTTTTATTGCAGTTAACTAAATCAAAACACTGTTGTGGCATCTGTAAGAAGATTTGGAATCATTCAGATAGTGGAAGTTGGGTGAGACGACCTAGAAGCTCTGGCTTTGTTTTGTTATCTTTCTGCTAAGGTGCAGCTTTTTTTTACTAATTTATTGCTTCATTATTTTGCGGAGTCAGGTGCGATGTGACGGTTGTAAAGTTTGGGTGCATGCAGAGTGTGACAAAATTCCCAGACATCATTTTAAGGTCCGTGTCATGTTGTCCGTCTCAATTCATTATTTTTTCTGACCTTCTAAATGGAGCCAATGATTCAAATTTTGGATTTCCCTGATCAAATCCTATTTGCTTCTCCAGGCTCTGGGGGCCACTGACTATTACTGTCCTACGTGCAAGGCAAAGTTTAACTTTGAATTATCTGATTCAGAGAAGTGGCGGCCTAAAACTAAGTCTGTTCTATTCTGAAATTGATATTTTTGTCTGTCAATGTGTATATTGTGATTTACTTTGTTTTACAAAATTATTCTGGCTGATTCTTTATTCTTCACTTCAGTGTTTCTAATGCTTGTAAAACCTTTTGTGCAGATCAAAAACTAACACCAGTGAACTAGTTTTGCCTAAGAAGGTTACTGTTCTCTGCTGTGGTGTTGAAGGCTTATATTACCCAAGCCTCCACTTGTAAGGAATTTTTTTATTTGTGAATAAGTTTCTTTTTTTTCGCTTTTCCACTTGATACCTCTTAAAATATCTTCACTTCTTCAGTGTAGTTTGACTTCTTTGTCTGTTTTCCACATTGTCCAGTAAGCATATATATTGGTAAAGATTTATTTTTCCATTCCAGAAAATTTGAGGCTACTTCATGTAAAATTTAAATCTGCTAAGCAAGCAACGTTACAGTCTTCTTGCTGGGATTTATCTAAATCTATTAAAAAAAAGTTTAATTTTCTCTAACAGACAAATAATCTTAAAGTGCCTTCAGTGATTTATATTTTGAGTGGCATAACTATTTCCATCTGGGAAAAAAATTAGCTTTCTGTATTTTGACTGGGAATCTATTCATTGTGACATCGTCTATTCCAGAGTTGTTTGCAAGTGCGGGTCCTGTGGGTCTGAGAAGCAAGCGCTTAGCGAGTGGGAAAGACACACTGGTTCCAGAGAACGGAATTGGAGGATTAGCGTGAAGGTGAAAGGTTCCTTGCTGCCATTAGAACAATGGGTTTGTACAACTTTTGGACCTTTTTCTTTTCAGATCTATATTTCCTATCTCTGGTCATAGTTTGCACCTTTGAATGTAAAAGATATTCTGTTAAAAAAAACATGTTGAATATGACATTTTATTCTATTGTAGTGTTTCACATCTTCGGTTGACTTTAAGTTGAACTTTAGAGTAGAGGGGGAGTATGTTAACCAAGTTCTTAAACCCTTGTATCTGTCTTCCCACTCTTTATATTAGTAAAGGAGTCGACTTCTCAGAAGATACATCATTACTTGCTTTCATTAACTGTTTTGGCATCGTTTTGCTTCTAAGGATTTTTTTTTCCACTTGGTGCACGTCTAACCTTGCAGATGCTTCAGTTAGCAGAGTTCCATGCAAATGCAACGACCTCTACCAAACCTCCTAAACGACCACCGATAAGAGAGAGAAAGCAAAAGTTGCTTGCTTTTTTGCAGGGTATTCTTCTAGGCATCAGATTAGCAATTTCATGATTGTGCTTTTCTTTTTTTTTTTTTCCTTTTTCTCCATCACCTTTGGGTTATGCTAATTATCACATTTGTTGTGACAGAAAGATATGAACCAGTTCATGTGAAGTGGACAACTGAACGCTGTGCTGTATGTAGATGGGTCGAAGATTGGGACTACAATAAAATTATTATATGCAATAGGTAATTTTTGCAGTATTTTCTTTTAGGGTAAATTATGTGTTTAGTACCTAAACTATCAGTTTTGGTCCGTTTTAGTACCTCAACTTTCAAAAATTTCAAAACCATGCCTAAAGTTTACTTTTTGTTTTCATTTTAGCATCCTACCGTTAAAAACTTTAATTTTTGTTTCATTTTAGTACCTCGTTCAAAATTTAACGTTAAGTTTTGAAAAAAATTGAAAGTTTAGGTGCTAAAACGGGCCAAAACTGATAGTTTAGGTATTAAACGTGTTAAGTTTTTAACGGTGGGTACTAAAATGAAATGAAAACTAAACATTAGGTATGGTTTTGAAAAAATTGAAAGTTTAGGTATTAAAACATACCGAGATTGATAGTTTAGGTACTAAATGCGTAGTTTACCCTTTCTTTTATGTAAGACTAGATTTTTTACGGATCCATCATTGGATGCACTTTCATCCACTGTTGTATAAAAGCATTGAGTTTAGGTTTTCTTATTAACTTATACTTTTAAAGTCAACTTCTGGTTTTCGAATAATATTGATCTTTAAAGTAATTAAGTTTTAAGTGTACAAGGATCTTTTTTACCACTTTTAATTAAGTTTTAAGTGTATAAGGATCTTTTTTACCACTTTTATATCTCTTTTTGTATGGCCTTGTGAGGTCTGCACTAGTTCTTTATTGTCCATTCTTTTTGGCAATGAATGTCATTTGATTCAAGAGTTAAGAGCAAGCTTGATAGGAAATGCATGATCTTGTTGGTTATTATACTAGAGCAAATCATATTTTTATGATGTTGGTCATTTTTTAATCAGATGTCAAATTGCTGTGCATCAAGAATGTTATGGAGCAAGAAATGTTAAGGATTTCACTTCGTGGGTTTGTAAAGCTTGTGAAACACCTGAAATTACACGAGAATGTTGCCTTTGTCCCGTCCAAGGTATAGTTAGTTAATCATCTCTATTTCTTCTTTGTTTGGTTAAAGCTTGTTCTTTGATTATCTTACTATGGGCGGTATATTTGCAATCTGGAAGTTAGTTTCCACATCTGTAATTATTCAATTTAGTTTATTTTTTTATAGTAACTTACATGGTTTCCCCCCACTTCAGGAGGTGCTTTGAAGCCAACTGATGTTGAGACATTGTGGGTTCATGTTACTTGTGCTTGGTTTCAACCTGAAGTATCTTTTGCAAGTGATGAAAAGATGGAACCTGCTCTTGGAATCTTGAGTATACCATCAAATTCCTTTGTGAAGGTAGAATTGCTCTTTTAGTCATCACTCAATTGTGAAGAGCTCTCCAGTCCTTGTAATCATGAAAGTTTTATGATATCATTTCCTTAAACTAAGATTCTAAGTAATGCTGGATTCATGTTGTTTTGAGTGTCTGAGGCCACTCATCTGCACATCATTTAACAAATCTTGCTGTGGACAATGGCTGCTGCATTGTGGGAAACTCAAGTATTTCTTGTCTTGGAGAAATTATAGTTGATGCTCGATTAAATAGTCACTGGACTGGAACTTGGAGTTTTCCTTTTGGCACAGAGATTTAAGTTTAACCAATTGAGTCAATAGTATTAGTAGCATGCTCTTTTATGAGATATTTTTTGCAATTGTAGATGCCAGCTCCTTTTATAAATTTAGTAGAAGTAACAATGATTTACATAAATTAATGCATGCATGCTTATCTGAGAAGTGGTTCCTTTGAACATTATAGGATTTTCTTGGTATAAAATGACTAGTTCCTACTGTTATCTTTGGGATAATATTTCTGCTAAAATATCCAAACTTTTATTTGTAATTGTGCTAATTGTGGTTCTGTTTTGTGTTTTGGGCCTGAAGACGGATTTATAGCTAGTTCCTATTGGTTATATATATATGCTTATAACTGTGGCTTGTTTACATAAACCGCAGATTTGTGTTATTTGCAAGCAAATTCATGGTTCTTGCACACAGTGTTGTAATTGTTCAACGTATTACCATGCTATGTGTGCTTCAAGGGCTGGTTACCGCATGGAGGTAATTTACTTTTAGCTAATCTTTCTACCTCATACTTGCATCACCCGTTATACACTTAATCAACATAAGATTCTCCCTCTTTGGAATCTACCTTCAATTTCCTTTGAATAATATGACATCATTTAATTTAATTGGATTAATATGAATAGATAGTAAATTTTAGAAATTGATACTTAATCAACTCTGTACCTGAATGAGAGTGAAGCATGACTCACGGTTTTGAAGAGTGCAGTTGTGCATAGGAAAGTGATAGGCAGTGTACCCTACGGTAATGAAGGTTTTTAGTTTATTACATCCAATCACGTTAGAATTTAGAATGTTATAACATTGGTGGGGAAAAACTAATAAACCGCAAGAGAGACTTGGAAATCTTCTGAACTATTATGCGAGTTCTGTATGTAGGCATGTCAAATGCTCTGCCTAATTAGTATACTAATTTTGATTTACTTTGGATTTTACTTGTCAAAGATCATCCAGTTGATCTCTTGTTACTACTAAATTTATTTATCTGTTCTGTTTAAATTGCAGTTGCATTGCTTGGAGAAAAATGGTAGACAAATGACAAAAATGGTGTCATATTGTGCTTATCATCGGTATGCTTTAATTATATCTGTCGTATTTTTCTTTCTGAGCGATATCATATGTGCTAATCTTTGTTTGTTGTTTTGATTCCTATTTCAACCTCGTACAGCGCACCAAATCCAGATACTGTTTTAATCATACAGACCCCTCTAGGGGTCTTCTCTGCCAAAAGCCTTGGTCAAAAGAAGAAGAAAAGTGGGTCAAGGCTAATTTCATCAAGCAGGCTGAAAATTGAAGAGGCTCCAACTGTGGAAACTACCGAGGTTGAGCCATTTTCTGCTGCTAGGTGCCGGGTCTTCAAAAGATCAAACAATAATAGAAAGGTAAGCTTACATGAAAGTCTGAAATGTTTGTACATAGTCTGTCAGGGTATTTGTATGCTTAAAATCGTTCCTGGTACAAGTTTTTGCCAGATGTTTCTTGGCTCCTTTTCCTTTCCCCAGTGAGCTGAGCTGAAAATCTAGTGGTTTATGGGTTAAAACTTTAAAGTTGCATTCTTTTTCTAATGTAAAGGGAAAGGGGAAGGGGAAAGAAAGAAAAGCGTCGGATTTGGCGTCCTTTTGTCAATTCTTTTCCTTCATGTTGCTTTATCTTTTCTTTTCTGAATCACGAGAAAACGATTCAACCCTGTCTCTCCAAATTATTTTATTCTCATTAATATTCTTTCTTTACCTAGAGAACTGAAGATGAAGCCATGCCCCACCGGTTAATAAGACCTTGCCATCATTCTTTAAGCACTATACAGAGTTTGAATGCATTCAGAGTAAATTTCTCTCCTTTCTACAATCTCTGAGTTTGCTTACGTTTTTTGTCCTCTGAATTTGAATTCCAAAAGAAAGCAATCCTTTATTTGCATCCATGATTGATTTTGTTCAATCTAACAGATAGTAGAGGAGCCTACAGATTTTTCATCTTTCAAAGAACGACTCCAGCACTTGCAGGCAAATTTCCAATCCCTTTCCCCTTTTGAGAACTTAATTTTCTGATCAGTTTTGCTAAACAATATGTATGTACATAACAAATGCAGAGAACTGAACATGATCGAGTTTGCTTCGGTAGATCTGGAATCCATGGGTGGGGCCTCTTTGCCCGAAAAAACATTCAAGAAGGAGATATGGTATTTTCTTGTTTAAGTTCTATAGGGTTAGAATACTATTTTCTCGGATTTCCATTGAACAGGGATGTTGGACAAACTTGGTTTAGGGCAGTGACATATTGCAAACTTTGTGTTTATGAATGATTGGAATATCAACCTTTTCTGATTCGCCGACAACTTGAATAAGTTTTTACATGGAGTGAGAAGCTTTTGTTTGTCTTCAGGTCCTTGAATACCGTGGGGAACAAGTGAGGGGAAGTATTGCTGATCTAAGAGAAGCACGCTACCGACAAGAAGGAAAAGACTGCTATGTAAGTGATTTATTTCGTAAATTTGCCAGTCTTTAGATTGAGCAGAATTGTTGAAGTCATTGTATTTTGAAGCATTTGAAAGCGCCACTTCGTTTGTTTAGCTTTTTGCATATATGATATTCTTGAGTCTAGACTGAAATGTGGTAGCAACATATTATGTTTGCAGCTGTTCAAGATCAGTGAAGAAGTCGTGGTGGACGCCACCGACAAAGGGAACATAGCGCGCCTAATCAATCATTCGGTAAGCAAGCATCTTGTTGACGAGAGAAATTATGATGGGACTAACAGGGTTGAATATCTCTTGTAATTGATGTTTTTTGGTCTCTGTCTCATGCAGTGCATGCCCAACTGTTATGCTAGGATTATGAGCGTCGCGGATGATGAGAGTCGGATTGTTCTTATTGCCAAGACTAACGTCTCTGCCGGAGATGAGCTAACGTACCTATCACTCTCTGTCTCTCCATCTCTCTTGCTCTCCGTTATTGATTATTGGTCAAATTTCGTAATGCTCTGTTTTGATGACCGGTTGCCAGGTACGATTACTTGTTCGATCCCGATGAGCCAGAGGAGTTCAAAGTCCCGTGCTTATGTAAAGCTCCAAATTGTCGGCAATTCATGAATTAGGAATTATACACACACAGCATAGCCATTGCTTCTCTGCAAGGAAGGTGACCGACCCAGTTGCCCTATTCAAGAGGTGGAATCTCATAGTCGATCTATACACCCTGATTTGTATTTTTTTCCCCAGAAAAAGAAGAAATGAAAATGCATCTTCCCTCCCATTTCTTTTCTTTTCTTTTCTTTTTACGATAAATTTGATGGTTAATAAAATGATTAGGATTTCCCAGTTGCTCTTGGAACATTCGTGTATGTATATCTGTTAACAATCAACGTTCATCATCTATAATTAATCTTTAAAGTAGTCAAGTCAAGAGAACGAATATCTGATTTTCGAAAATATATGGACTAAATTTCAAAGATCAAAAAATAAGGAGACCGAAGCACAATTAACAAAGTCGAAACAAAAGCCAAAATCATGCCGGAGAGTATTGGATAAGAGAAATATGTCAACCAATTACAAGCGGAGGAGGGAATTGAAAAGGATGGCGTGGCGAGCAGCAAGTTGATCAACCGGAATAATGTAAAATAATTTAGGGTAAAGTATACAAACGGTCCCCTGATTAAAAGATACTATTTTATTGAGTCCTTAACTATTATTAAAAGTTACAACATGGTCCCTTAACTATAGGAAGTTACTTTGTTGAGTCTATTGACTATTAAAAGTTACAAAATGTTCACTTGGTTATTCATTATATTCCAAACTTTTCATTTTTCATTAAAAATTTAATAGTCATCTGAGTTGGACGTTAACATGATGACTGATATATGATAGTCGTTTGAGATTATAAGATCAGATTTTATCATATCTAAGTTAGTAGGTTAACGTACAACACATACTGTTGTCAAATTTTTAGCAGAAAATGATGAGTTTGAAATATAATGAATAGTTAAGTGACTAATTTGTAACTTTTAATATTTAGGGGACTTAATAAAATAAAAATCATATAGTCAGATGACCATTTATGTACTTTACCCAATAATTTAGGGTAAAATATACTAGAGAACATTGAACTATATAAAAACGGTCTTTTCTGATAAGTGATCTTTCAAATATTACAAAATAATCATTAAACTTCCTATATGATTACAAAAACAATCCTTGTAATAATATAAATAATTTTTTATAATATTTAGATAAGTTTAAAGATCATTTTGTATGGTTTGATAAATACTAATGACTATCCTATAACATTTGAAATGCTACTTATCCAAAAGATCATGTTTACATAGTTTAGTGGCCTATTATGTATTTTACCTACATAATAACCGGATGAAGAAAATCCCAAAAAGGGAGTACAAAGACAGCAAGGCAGGCGTAGATATTTGCAGTGTCTTGCGGATGGCGACGTCAGCAGAACTCATGGCTCAACGTTTTCGGCGTACTCTCTCACGCAACCTTCACGCGCCCCTTCCCCTTTATATCTCTGGTAAGCCTTGAATATTCTAGTGGATCAATTCAATAATTGAAAACCGATTAATGATTCCATCGATCTGCCGGATCTTCAATTTCCTGATTCTTGGCTTGTTTCTTTGTTTTTTTTAGAGGTTGATCGATGGCACTGTATGGATTCTCTTTGAATCCTTGTTTAGAAAGCGTTGAAGTTTGTCAATTCAATGTCAATTTGTCGACTACACTGATTAGGCCCAGGTGTTTGCGGTTTAATCGGAAGCCAGCTTGTTCCCTCAGAAGAAATTTACATGGAGTGCGATGTTCATCCGTAAGTAAATCCGTTTCGTCCAAGGAATCACAAGGGAATGATTCGGTTTCTAAAACGGCTTCTCCCGGTGAAGAAGAACCGGGGCATGTGACGAGGTTCGAGATGTCGGATTTTATGGTTCTTGATCGTGTCAGCGTTGGACTAGCTGGCCGGGTATATGAAGCACATATGGCTGTTGGTTTTGTTTTGAATTTCCTTTTTTGTAGTACTAGTTTAAATTAGTTGTCTTTAACTTCTTGTAGGCGGATGAGGTGATTTTTGAAGCTATAGTGAAGGATTCGAGCAGGTTTGTCTTGGTTAATTAGTAATGAGCTTAATACGATGATATTAGCTTAACATTTGGTGTTAATGAAATTGCAGTCCTTTGTATAACTCGAGAGTTGTGCTTCGACAACTTACTAGTGCTCAAGCTCAACGCAGAGGAAGGCGCGCGATTGAGGTATGTGGACCGTGTGCAGCAATCGTTTTGATTTTTAACCCCAAAGCTACTTTTTGTGTTGAAAGTTGATGCCTTGTGTTTGAATATACTGCAGGTGTTGAAAAAGCTTGTTGGTCGCAGAATCCTCTACCATTCTTACTCCATGCAAGTTTATGGTTATGTCACATCACATAAAAGTGGTAGTCATAGCTCATTCACTCTGGTCCATGGGGTATGCCCTTTATTTCCATTTAATTCTTTATTACTATTCTTTTTCATATGTACTGCATCATCTATCCATGCTTCCTCCCCGACTCTGTACTCCCTTCTGAGTGGGTTAAAACTACTACTTTTTTATGTTTTTATATATACATGTTTTGCAGTACCATGGTAGCTTTTCATTAAGACATTGGCTTCAGCAACCCAATTGGCTTCCAACTTTAGAAGCAACTCTTGCATTGGATGAAGAGTCTGTCAGGAGGGTAGGAGATGACTCAGTTGGGGGACCAGCAGTTTCTCGTCAGTTGAGGCTTACTAGAATATTAATGAGAGACCTCTTAATTGGAGTATGTTTCTTTCTTCTTTAATCCTAATTATTGCATCTGACATTTCTCAATGTTTGTCGTAAATTTGTGATCCATGTTTCTCAACGGGAGTTTGATTTTGCTATTTACCTTTTTCAGGTAAACTACTTGCATTGCCATGGGATTGCGCATACAGAGTTAAGGCTGGAAAATGTGCATATAAGTCCTATTGATAGACATATCAAGGTATTTACAAATCTTTTTAATGATAATTGTTTAGGATTGTGTAATCGGATGTACAGGATTCTAGTCTTGCTTAGCACAATGCCACGATTCCTTTCTCTATTTTTGTTCTCTCAACTGAATGAATTTTAAAAGTGACATTATCAGGTAGGAATACTAGGAAATGCTGCTGATTTCTATGAGAATGGTCCCAGTGGAAGTGCACTGGATAGCAAGGTGAACAGGAGACAAATGATGATTGCATTTGACATGAGGTATGGTGCAAATAAAAACCAACTTTTTAGCCTACATCTTTATCGTGATCTTGAAGCTCATTTAGCGTCATGTCTTACAAAGGTGTGTTGGATTTATGATGGCAAAGATGGTGCTAAGTGAACTCATGGATCCCTCAATCTTCACAAAGTTCAAACATTTCCTTATGATGGTATAATACTCGACACTTGTGTAACTGTTTTTCCCCTAATACTAGAAGTGTTTCTTAGGATGAATCAGGTTGTTGAACTTAGCTGACATTGTTAGCAATATTTTGGGTTTGATTATCGTGCATATTTCCCTTTTTACTCAACTCTTCATTTTCCTTGAAGTGCCCGTATTTGAAACATTCAAATCATATTTGGCCATAGGAACGGGACTATGATCCTCAAAATATATTGAAAAATTGAACATCTTCGTGTCAGGCACTTCATCGTCATATTGAATTTTCTGTATGCCATTGCAGGGAAATGATCCATCATGCTTGCGTGAATTTCTTCTGCCAATCCTCACTCGGAACTCTGCTACTGGAAATGTTGGACTCCAGGTGAGTCATTTTACTTGAGCACACCTTTTCACTTCTTTACTGTTCGTAAGGATCTTTTAGCAAATTATCTTTTTGCAGATACTCGATAGAAACTGGGGTGCCGGTTGGAACCTTCTATCATTGTTACTTACTGTCAAAGGTTCTAAAAGAATAAGGTATGCTATTAAATTATGCTAGTGAATCTTTTTCTTTGTTTGGATTCCTGAGAATGTAGTTGGAAAATTAGTCTATATAGCATTTAGAAATGCTGAAAAGTAGAATTTGAACAATCTGATGGCGATGAAGTGGTTGCATTATTGGTTATGTAGTTTCTCTCCTTTTTTTTTCTTTTTCTTTTTTGTGTTAAGTACAACAGAGGTGAGGTCATTGAACTATGTTCAGATGATCTCGTTTTGGTCACTGAACTTTCAAAAGTTGTAAAATGGTCATTAACTATTATCAAACTTTTTACATTTATTATAACATTGCAATGACTATTTTATAACAGTTCGATAAATTTAATGATCATTTTGTAACCTTTGAAAGTTTAGTGACCAAAACGATCTAGATAATTTATTGAACGGTACTTTACCCTAACTTTTTTTTCTGATAACATAGAATCCAAAATATATTTCAAGAAAGTTCATGTAAAGGTTTGTAGCTTTCTGAGTTTCTTAATGCATAGTGAATTTCTTTATTTGTTGCAGTTGCTTAGATGCTCTTAGGCATCCATTTTTATGTGGACCGAGATGGCGTGTGGTCCCATCCATGGATATTATCAGATGGGGTCTTGGGTCAACTGCAGTGAGAATCACAGAAGAGTATATCTATCGCAAAGCTCAGGTAATTATAATATACTTCTGTAGTTTTATCATAGGTTAAATAATTTACTGTATTTCTTCTGAAACCAAAGCACATAATATGGAAGGTTTCATATCATAATATGCTGTGTCCTTATTACACTATTTTAATCCATGTTTTAAATTTGGATAGGTGAGCTAACTTGTTATTTTTCATATTACAGCGTGGCAGGCTTGCCCATTTTATTGAATTAATGGAGATGTTGAATCCCCATTCAAGGCCCAAGGTGATTCCTTGTTCTCTCTCTTTTTGAGTTGTGTAGGTTTTCTTGTCCTTTGCATGAAAGCTACTTGAGCTCGATTCGAAATAACTTCGGCTCTGATATCGTCGACTTCGAGCTGAAATTCAAACATGAGCTTCTTCCAGTTTTGAGCTCGGTTACACTTGATTGCACCCTACTTCTGCTAATAAGCTGTTTTATTTGTCTTTGTTTGGAACATGCAGAACTGGTTGGAATTTCTGCCTGGGAAATGGCGTCTGTTATACTCTACCGGAAGGCACATAGGTTTAACTCTTCGCCAACCTCCCGTTCGTGTCCTCATCGGCAACACATACCTAACAATTGAAAGAACTTCCAAGTCGAACACGAGCCTTTTGGTAACATCTGAAATTGGATTCACAATCATGGTGGGACACGATTGGCCCCATGACAAAAGGGGAATCAAGGGGAAACTGCAAGTGAACTCTTCATCTCGTTTAAGAGCCGGGAAGCGACTATATCTTAATGAGGCGGCAATGGAAGGATTCTCTTTGGGGCAATCAAACTCCGAGAAGTTCATAACCGAGAAACTATCTAGCAGGAAATGGAGAAAAGTGATCCCCTTCACGGAATTACCATCGAATCTTCCCGTAGCTAAGCTCCTTCCGGACAACGTCGAGATTACGATGACCCTCGATGACACATTGGAACAGGGTGTTAATGCTGCAAACATAGTTCAGGAAATCCGGACACAGGTCCCCCCTGAAATGTTCGAATTGTCGAATATCGTGTGTGGAACATATGTTGACTCGAGGATGCTTGTCCTCCGTGGTGTAAATGGCTCGGCACTCATATTTACAAGGTCCTGTAGAGATGAAAAGTTACAGGTAACAAAATGATAATAATAATTTTGCACTCTCTTGAAGTGGTACAACTTAGCTAAATGCCATATTCAAATACCATAGAGCTGACCATTATAGAAAGGCATAATGCCAAATTTGTCCTCTAACGCTTACTAAAATGGTTATTTTGTTTCCTTTTTTTTTGAATTATTTTGGTCTCAAACGTTTTATTTTAGTACAAAAGACCTTTGATATTTAACAGAATAATCACTTTAATCCTTATTCTTTTTTATGGGGTATTTTAGTCCTCAATGTTTTATTTTAAGTTAGAAAATGCTCTTATTTTGGAGTCTTAATCGTGTGTTAACTAATGATTTTTATATAGATTGAAACGTTTGGGGTTCAAAAGATGACAGCTGAAAATGAGATTAAAGCCAACAAAATTGCTTTTCTTTTTGCTTGAAGATTAAAATACTTGAAAGATAGAACATCTCTTTCTCCTCCATTGTAGCATTCACCAAATCCAGAATACAGATACGCAAATGACGTCAACTTCGCACCAATTGGCCATGAAATTCACGTGCAATTACCAGAAACTATTTTCACTAATACATCAAAGCATGGGATTATAATATTCAGGGTCCAAGTCATTAGTAGTAGGTGAACAAAATTCGATTAATCTTTTAATTTTTTTTGCACAATATGGAATTACCAAAAGGAAAAGTTGGGGCTTTTTGACAAATGAAGAGCTTAAAGATTATAAAAGTGAAACTTCATACATTAAACAAACCACATATGAAATTGCAATTAAAAGCATAATTGGGTTGCTGGTATGCTAAGCCATAGTTGATGCATCAACACTTTTATGTGTAAAATCGGCGTTATTTTTATTTTTTTTGTTGTCCTCCCGATTTCAGGTGAACAAGGACTCAAACTCAAACCTTTCTTAAGTGATGTCAAGTTGTTTACTACTTGAATCAATCCCAGTAGGTAAATCGATGCTATTTTTTAAAAGGTCAAAATTGATTAATTTTTTAAGAATGAAATTACTTCCTATCGTATTAAAATTGTACCATTTTGAAAGGTTAAAATACAATATTATTATTTATTGAGTTCTAATATTTTAAAGAGACTTATAAAAAAAAATCATTCGGGTGGTACATACTGTGGTGAGTAAGTCTTTTAGTATGGATTTTTTTTTTTGCATATACAAAGACTCAAACTCAAGACCTACTTAAGGTATATCAAGTTATTTAACACTTCAACCAACCCTGTTGATAATCTTTTATTTAATTTTTTTTAGTTGCCCTCGCTTTGACTAATCCATATTGACCCGGGTCGCAGACCTGATTTTTTTAGTATTGTTTCCCACTTGTCCGAACCTAAAAAAAAGCCTAGGTATGGAAATAAATCGAGCCAAAAGACTTGGATTAAGAAATACTAAAAGCTTGCATTTATTTTGCGATGCAGGGACCTTCCTGTACCAGGACTAGATTTATCTGGTGTTCATTTTGCGTGGAGTTCCCTCATGCAAATACTAAAAGCTTGCTTGATAGTGATCTCCAAGATGGTAACTACATATCAGCTATGGGAAAGAAAGTCGTCGTCATTGGTGGAGGTGATACTGGTACAGATTGCATAGGGACATCTATCCGGCATGGATGTAGTAGCATTGTCAATCTCGAGTTACTTCCTCAGCCACCGCAGACTAGAGCTCCTGGCAATCCCTGGCCACAGGTATGACAGTTATATTCTTCGTTTCTTAATGATTCTATACTATGGCTTTCAATATGTGCAAGGAAATATAGAATATAGGCTCGTGCTGGACATTTTTTTATACGGTAAGATTCATCACTTGCTATCTGCTTGCTTTGCCTTTGGAACCAAGTAATTTAGTGGTGGTACTTGGAATCGCAGGGTTCAATTTGTAATATTGTTAATCTAGAAATCTGACCTCTTCCACTTTTTTTTTTCTTGCATTTTTGGAATTGTAGTGGCCTCGTATATTCCGTGTACCAAGAAGCTGCTACCAAATTTGGTAAAGACCCAAGAACCTATGAGGTTTTGACCAAGAGGTTTATAGGAGATGAGAATGGAACTGTGAAAGGACTCAAGGTGGTTCGTGTGCGTTGGTAGAAGGATGCCGGTGGGAAGTTCCAATTCAAGGAAGTAGAGGGCTCTGAGGAAATAATCGAGCTTGACCTAGTCCTGCTAGCCATGGGGTTCCTCGGGGCTGAGCCGGTCAGTATTGTGATCATGGCCCCTTTTTCTATGTTTCTTTGTGGAAATCAGTTCTTAATGCCTCGTGTTGTGAACCTGAATGCTTATTGATGTTTTTGGTTAATTTCCTATGATGCATTTATGTTGCATGGTTTGAGCATTGCTCCTCACTTCTCTTGCTCTTTGATTTGAACAGACGGTGGCAGAAAAATTAGGTGTGGAAAAGGACAATCGGTCAAACTTCAAGGCAGAATACGGCCGCTTTGCAACGAGTGTGGATGGGGTCTTTGCAGCCGGAGACTGACCAGTGAAGAAGAGGACACAAGCATCGATGGCGAGACTCCAGATTCCGTCAAGCGGCGTCAAGACCTATCCCAGAAGCAGCAAACAGTCGCGTCATAGCTGCTGATGCTGATTGTCATAGGTTGTGACATTGGGCTAAAAAAAGAAAAGCCGAATTCGATACCGTAAGGGGGATTCGAGTTTGTTGAATGTAGGGCCACAGTGGGACTTAAACATGAACTCATTGCGCTTAACCACCAGGGGATGGTTTATTTATAGTTTTTGCCCAGCTTGTTTGACTTGGAGGTTCAGCTCTCATGGTTTTTCTTAAAGGAACAGTCATGTATAGTTTCTTGCATCGTTTGATTTTGAAAAGTATGTTATTGTTATTTAGCTAAGTTCATGAATTTGGGATTACTTATAAACTCAATGATATTATTATTTAGGTAAGATTCGTTTTATTATTAAATACATGAGTTTTGGGTTACTTATAACTCAAAATAATACGTCAAACATTAATTATGATTTAAAAAAAAATTAATATATTAAATTTTAAAAAGAAAATGAAAATTCAGGTATTAAAACAGATCAAAATTAATAGTCTAGATATTAAATACGTTAAATTTTTAATAATAAATATTAAAATAAAACAAAAATTAAGTATTAAGTATAATTTTAGAAAAAAGAAAATTCAGATATTAAAATAGGTATAATTTAATTATCAAATACGAAGTTTACCCTTAACCACGCAATATGTAATTCCATAAAGCTACCTTATTCCAGAGCCCATATGGAACAGGATAACTCCCATAAGAGTCCGCACCTTTGCTTTGAACATGGCTCACTGGACTTGAAACTAAGTAGCCGTTAGTAGAGAAGCCAACGATGATGAATCTTTCTCTTCCCGCTCCAGCCAAAATCCCGCTTCCTTCCCTTGCTTCATCCTCAACCCGTCCTCCCCCGAAACTCCCATATCAGCCGCCGCCGCCGTCACCGTCGATCAGGAGCACCATCAACTTCGAACCCCTTAGGGACCGTCTGATCAAGCATCTCGATGCAGGTCACCTCCACAAAGCCATATCCACGCTCGATGTCATGGCCAGGCAAAACACCCATCCAGACCTCATCACCTACTCTGTGCTCCTCAAGGCTTGCATCAGGTCACGTGACTTCCAGCTTGGTAAACTTGTCCACTCCCACTTGACTCAGTCCAAACTCGAGCTTGACTCCGTCCTTTTTAACTCGCTCATCAGTTTGTACTCGAAGTCCGGCAATTGGAACAAAGCCCGTGAAATATTCCAAAGTATGGGAAACAAACGGGATTTAGTTTCATGGAGTGCAATGATTTCTTGTTTTGCTAATAATAAGATGGAATTCGAAGCAATTTTGACGTTTCTTGATATGCTTGAAAACGGGTTTTTTCCGAACGAGTATTGCTTCACGGCTGTTATTCGGGCTTGTTCGACATCCGAGTTTTATTCAGTTGGAGAAATAATATTGGGTTTTCTAATGAAAACGGGGTATCTCGACTTTGATACGAATGTTGGGTGTGCTTTAATTGATATGTTTGCTAAGGGAAATAGCGATTTGGAGTCGGCTTTAAAGGTGTTCGATAAAATGCCTGAAAGAAATGTGGTTTCTTGGACACTGATGATGACTAGATGTACGCAATTAGGTTACCCGAAGGGTGCTATTGAATTGTTCGTGGATATGATTCTAAGTGGCTACATGGCCGATCGGTTTACACTAAGTGGTGTCGTTTCAGCTTGCACTGAACTTGAATCGGAATCATTGTCTCTCGGAAAGCAATTGCATTCTTGGGTTATACTGTCAGGATCCGCTTCAGATGTTTGCATTGGTTGTAGTTTAGTAGACATGTACGCTAAGTGTACAATGGACGGGTCTTTGGATGATTCTAGGAGGGTGTTTGATAGAATGGAAAAGCACAATGTTATGTCGTGGACTGCGATTATAACGGGATACGTGCAATGCGGAGGTCACGATATGGAAGCCATAGACCTCTTTTGCAAAATGATCGAAGGTCCTGTTTCGCCTAATCATTTCACATTTTCTAGTGTTCTTAAGGCGTGTGGAAATCTTTCCGATTATCGCACAGGTGAACAGTTCTATTCCCAGGCAGTAAAACATGGCTTTTCTTCGGATGATTGTGTGGGGAACTCTCTTATAAGCATGTATGCTAGATCCGGGAGGATGGACGATGCTCAAAAAGCTTTCGAATCTCTATTTGAGAAGAATTTAGTTTCCTACAACACTATCGTCGACACTTATGCTAAGAACCTAGATTCTGAAGGAGCTTTTGAACTTTTTCATGAAATTGCTGATGCTGGAGTTGAGGTTAATGCTTTCACGTTTACTAGTCTCCTGAGTGGAGCTTCAAATATTGGTGCAATCGGCAAGGGTGAGCAAATCCATGCTCGGTTACTTAAATCGGGGTTTCAGTCAAACCAATGCGTTTGTAATGCATTGATATCCATGTATGCTAGGTGTGGGCACATAGAAGCTGCTTTTCAAGTTTTTAATGAGATGGGTGATCGAAATGTTATATCATGGACTTCTATGATCACAGGTTTTGCAAAACATGGATTTGCTACTAGAGCTTTGGAAATGTTCCACGAAATGCTTGAGGCAAGGATTAGGCCGAACGAGATCACGTATATTGCTGTTTTATCGGCTTGTAGCCATGCAGGCTTGGTTTCAGAGGGATGGGAAATTTTCAACTCGATGCACGAAGAACATAAAATTGCACCAAGAATGGAACATTATGCATGCATGGTTGATTTGTTGGGACGATCAGGATCACTCAGGGAAGCTATTGAGTTTATAGACACGATGCCCTGCACACCGGATGCTTTGATCTGGCGTACTTTTCTCGGAGCTTGCCGAGTCCACCATGACAAAGAACTTGGTGAACATGCTGCAAAGATGATACTTCAGCAGGATCCTCAGGATACAGCCGCCCATATCTTACTATCGAATTTATATGCCTCTTCCGGTCAATGGGACGACGTGGCACGGATTAGGAAGAATATGAAAGAAAGAAATCTGATCAAAGAAGCTGGTTGTAGTTGGATAGAGGCGGACAATAAAATACACAGGTTCCATGTGGCCGATACTTCACACCCACAAGCACAGGAGATTTATGAGAAACTGGATGAAGTGGCTTTAGAAATAAAGGGATTAGGCTATTTCCCGGATACAGATTTTGTACTTCATGAGCTTGAGGAGGAACAGAAGGAGCAATATGTCTTCCAACACAGCGAGAAAATCGCTGTTGCATTCGGTCTTATAAGCACATCAAGATCAAAACTGATTCGGGTTTTCAAGAATCTCCGTGTTTGCGGAGACTGTCATACCGCAATCAAATACATTTCGATGGCCACGGGGAGAGAAATAGTTTTAAGGGATTCGAATCGCTTTCATCATATCAAGAATGGAACTTGCTCTTGCAATGATTACTGGTGACAGGGGACCCATCCGGCATCGGCATTCTTGGTAGAAGGCAATTAGTTCACCAGGTTGTTTTGGTGTGGTTCGGTCACCGGTCATGCGCAGATGCATTCCGACTGAACGACCGATCCCCGTTTGGCCGGTTTATCCTTTACCTCCTCCTCTTTTGGCCATTGAAATTGAGGCATGTATCACTTGTTCTGCTAGTTCTTCTCCCTGCATGTTTATATACAATTTTAGATTCTCAATGCCGTGGATTAAATCCATTTAAATTTCTATTTTTTTAATGAAGTATATGTCAATTATATACGTAGAGTATTTTAGTGACCTAATGGATAATAATTTTTCTTCAATGGTTAAAATATAATCAATCCAATAATTGAATAACTAATACAATAATTTACCATATTGTTAATTTAGCACCATCTTTATGTGGGCTGAGAATTGAGACATGTCATATTCATTATTCATATTCTCAATCATCAAATACTTTCATATTAGACTCCACGTTTTTATTTTCATTTTTTTTTCTTTCATGAAAATAAAATATTAATAAATATGCGTGTCTGAGATTTGATTATTAGATATATATTCTGATTTGATATTTTTAGTTATTTTATTTTTTAAATATTATTTTTTTTATTTTAATCTAAATTATGATAGTTAAATATGTTAAATTTTATTATTAGTTAATATATCACGTACAAGTTGTAAATTTAATTAATAGGAGTATTATATATATAAAAGCTCCAAAACTTTTTAATTTAATTCACAATATACTTTATGCAAATCTATTTGCTCGAACATAATATTCATAAGGAGAGCAACAATTTTTAGGGTAAAATAAACAAATGGTCCCTTGACTATATGTCGTTGTTTTATTGAGTCTTTAAAAGTTACATATTGATCCCTCAACTATAGGATATTGATTTTTGTCCCCTAACTATTAAATGTTACAAAATGATCATCTGATTATTTATTGTGTTCCAAACTCATCATTTTTCGCTAAAAAATGATGGCAGTTTGAGTTTGACGTCAACTTATTAACTGAGATATAATAGTCATTTGAGACTCTGAGATCACATTTTATCATATCTTAGTCAACAAATTAACGTTAAGCTTAAATTGTCATAAATTTTTAATAGAAAAGGAAAATTTTTGAATGCAATGAATAATCAAATTACTATTTTGTAACTTTAATAGACATTAACTCAAAAAAGCAATATACTATAATTATGATTATATTTTATAACTTTTAATAGTCGAAAGATTCAATAAAGTAACATCATATAGTTGAGGGACTATTTATATACTTTACCCTCTTTTTATTACTAAAGACGTGCAATAGATTCGAGAATGCGCTATATCGAATAGCCTCACAGTACCACATCATCAAAAGACTAAAAATAAAAAAGTCTTTTAAGTTCAAGGATTAACGTGGACAAAAAAATTTAAGGGACCCAATTGAAATAAATTACAAAGTACATGGATTAAAAATACTTTATCGCTACATGGAATATAGAGAGGGACTGAGGGTTCATCTTCCATTGAAATAAGCAAAGCAAGAGAAACGAATAAGCAGGTAAGCATTGGAAAACCAAAAGTGAATAATCTAATAATTAGAAGCAAACAATTCCCTCCCATCACCGTAACCCTTACCGCTCGCTGTTTGGATTCTCCAGATTATTCAGTCTCACACTGTCAATTAGACCAGCCATGATCTTTTGTTCTTTATTTAAATGTTTATCTCTCTAGATTCAAATTTTATTTCTCGTTTAATTCGTTAATTGCTGTTGCTTGATTTCTGACACTTTTATTCTCCATTTTTTCCTCTTTTTTGTTTGTCGATTTCAACGAGCTTGAGAAGCGATGGTTTAGGAGATTCTTTGGTTTGATTTCGCTGTTCAAAACCCTAGTTCCTTCCATTTTGGGAATTTCGCGGCAGAGAATCGGAGCTTTGCATTAAGTTTTTTACTTTGTATATCTGTTTATTTATGTAATATAAGCACAAAAAGGAAAATTGGAGGTTAACTTGACATAATTGCATTAAATAATGGTTTATGGTTAACTATAGTTTTCTTTCCAACATAATATGTTTTTGAAATTTTCGTTTACATTACGTTACTTGATGGAATTTGTCTTCCCTTGATATGCCTTTTGAAGATCCTGACTTGGAAACATTTCTAGAAGCAGCGTTTCTGTTTGTTTCTGTTCGTTTTATTATTAATATTTTTTTTCAGTAATCATAGCATATGGGTTCAGTCATTGTTTAGGTTATATTTATTTTAGTTTGGTAATCACTTTCACGAGCCAAAGGGAATGGAATTTCTGCTGCCAAAGTTCTCTGGTGCATCACGTTCTTTTTTTTCTTTAACCTCCTCTCTTCTTTGAGGCTTATTATTATATTTTAACAATGGTGAGTGATGTATCAAATTAGTGCTTGAAGAACAAGGAATCTGATGCTACTATTTTTTCCATGGAACATTGTGAAATTACCATTTTTTATTTCTAAAAGAAACATCTTTACTTCTTTTTATTGTCATGCACATATTTTTTAATGATTCTGTTAAAAAGATTTTACACTTCTTGTGCTTGCGTATGTTCTGTTTTCTTCTTCTTAAGAAGAAGGGAGCTTATAAATTTGTTTTGACATATAGAGGCTGGAGCCGGTGAAGAAAAAGATAATATATGGGGGAAGGCATCGGAAGAGATTTGGAATGCCAGAAGATTATGGATGGGAAGGTGAATAGTGGTAATGGCTTAGAGAAGGTTGTCCCTTCTTGTTGCTTGAAGGCCAGGGCTTCAGCTCCTGAGCTTCAGGCAAAATGCCATTCAACAGTTGTTTCTGGGTGGTTCTCGGAATATCAGTCTTCCTCTGGTCTTTATCTTTGAATTATCCTTTTCCCGTACTTTTTCATTTTTACCAGAATTACATGGTTTGATCTTTATTTTTCTTTTTTCATCACTCGCAGATAAAGCTGGTAAAATGGTCTACTTCAACAATCCTATGTGGCCTGGTGAGTTTCAGTTTCCCTTTGTAATTTATATATGCTTGAAATTCCTTGAAGTATATTTACTGTTTACCTTCTCACCGTGATAGACTCCCAATCATCCTTTTATAATTTATCATAGTAACTTATTCTAAGAAATTAGAGCTTAGGAGCCTTGAGTTTGAACTAGTGAATGCCTCTTACACATTGAACTGTATTCTTTAATAACAATGTTTAAAATTTTTGCTCCAGGAGAAGCACATTCTCTGAAAGTTGAAAGTATTTTTATTCAAGGAAAAATCTGACTTCCAAGAGGTCCTTGTTTTTGAGGTCTGGTGTTTTAACTCCTTGTTTTCTATTTCGAATCGTGTCTACCTCTAGTCCTTTCTATCTAATTCTTTTTTTTTTTTTGCCGGACTTTGCTTGCCTATTTTCTTACATTCATTATGCATAATCTTGCTGTTGAAACTACTTTTTTTCTTGCAGTCATCAGCATATGGGAAAGTGCTTGTTCTTGATGGAATAGTTCAGTTGACTGAGAAAGATGAATGTGCATATCAAGAGATGATAGCTCATCTTCCACTTTGTTCAATTCCATCTCCCAAAACTGTAATCTCATCTTATCTAAGCATAGATTTCCCTCCCATCTCTTGTCAGTAATTTCCCTTATATCTTGCTAATATCTTCATCTATTGATGAACTTATCCTACTTTCTTTTTGTTCAATTTCTATGTTTGACATTGGAATTTATTTTTTTCTCTAAGATTGCATAATGAGATAATCTTGATTAAGTTTTGTGTTCTAACGCCTATTGAAATTGGTTGGTCTTTTCTGTCATCAAAATTTGGAGATATATTCCCTAAGCTGTTTCATTGATTCAAAGTTCTTGATGGCTTTGCAGTCTTGATTTTTTTACTTCATCAAAATCTTTCCTATCTAGCCTCATCCAGAAGGAATTTACTTTAACCCTAAGGTTATTTCACATTAATTTATAACTAAATTTTGTATGCAGGTCCTGGTTGTTGGAGGTGGTGATGGTGGAGTTCTTAGGGAGATTTCTCGGCACAGCTCTGTCGAGCACATTGATATATGTGAAATAGATAAGATGGTTATAGATGTATGTTGTATTTTAGTATCTATTCTTGTTTTCTTTTCCTTTTACCTTTTTTATGAAAATGCTCATTAGCCATTTATCACTTTTTTTATTCTAGGTTTCCAAGAAGTTCTTTCCAGAATTAGCTGTTGGATTTGAGGACCCTCGTGTTAATCTTCATGTCGCTGATGGTATGTGAACAATATTGAATATTTTATGTCTTTCGTTTTTATTATTTTTTCCTGTTAACTTTCTGTTAAAAGGTCAAGCATTATGCTTTAACTCCCAAGCTGATGTTTTACTTGCATATAATATTAACAGCAATTGAGTTTATTCGTCATGTTCGAAAAGGGAAGTATGATGCTATCATTGTTGATTCATCAGATCCTGTAGGTACGTTGCAATGTTTGATCTGTTAAAATTTTATTTACAGCATTAGTGGTATGCAAATACCAAAACCAAAACTATTGTTTCTTTTATCCTTGTGTAAAAGAAAAAAAAGGTTAGATGGTTTCTTTAAGAATATGTACATGGTATTTTTGCTTTTAAGACTCAACATCATTCAGGCTTTTACTTGGTATTTCTGTTTGCAATTTAGGTCCTGCTCAGGAGCTTGTAGAGAAACCATTTTTTGAGACTTTAGCACGAGCATTAAGGCCTGGTGGTGTTCTTTGCAACATGGCAGAGAGTATGTGGCTTCATACACATTTAATTGAAGAAATGATTTCTGTTTGCCACGAAACATTTAAGGGTTCTGTTCATTATGCATGGACAAGTGTTCCAACATATCCAAGGTATTTGATTAAGCTGTCTTTCCCCCTTTATTCTCTTTTAGATATTAATGATGCTTTGATAGTGATAATTTATATGTTGTCATTTATCAATTGCGGAACCATCTTCAGAATCATCGTCTATACCATTTCTGACTACTGATTGCTATTTTCCTTTTCTTTTGCAATGCAGTGGCGTGATTGGTTTTCTGTTATGCTCCACAGAAGGACCTCCTGTTAATTTTTTGAACCCCATAAACCCTATTGAGAAGCTAGACGGAGCTTACCATCGTAAGAGAGAACTTAGATTTTACAACTCTG